GGAGACACCGACTGACGCTGGGGGGAGGGAGGAGACACTGACCGACGTTGGGGTCCCTTAAAAATTTCCTTGGCCAAAAAGGGGTCACGAGAAAGTTTAAGAAGGCCTGGGTTAGAGCACGTTTCCCCAGGTTTTCAAGCACTTGGACTGAAAGTGGAAGTGGCAATACTAGGAGACAGCTGCATGCACAAATCCTGATTTAAAACCTCTTAACAGGAAAATAGAGTACAGTAAGCAAAGCTGATTATTTATTCGTGTGCTACTTGCTATCCAATCAGCAGGCAGAGCAGAGGGTATGTTCTTGACCAATGTGTACTGCTGCAGCTTGGGGTTTAAGGCCTGGCAGTGTTGTCTGGTTTACAAATCCTTTAGAGCTGCAGCTAACGATTATTTTCAAAATCGATTAGTTAGCCGATTATTAAGTTCGATTAATCGGTTAATCGGATTTAAAAAAAAATTAAAAGAATGGCTCTAGTGATGGGACTACTAGTTTGTATTGAGATTGCAGTGCATCACAGGAGCAAGCTTGGAGCGGTGGAAGTAAAAAAGAAAAAAACGTGTGGTGTGCAATATAGTGAAATGAAAAGTGTAAAATTATACAGCAATGAATGCAGAATGGCACCGGCTATAGGGGGAATACAACAAATCCCAGCAATACATTATAGCTGGCATTATTCCGCATTGCGATGTATAATGTACTATTGCTGGGTGTTGTAGTCCTCTATAGCTAGTGGTATTTGGCATTGCACCACTGTATAATGTATTATTGCTGGGATTTGTTGTACTCATCTACAGCTGGTGGTATTCTACATTGCGCTGTATAATGTATTATTAATGCAGAATACCACCAGCTATATAGGGATACAACAAATCCCAGCAATACGTTATACATACAGTGTACAATGTATTGCTGGGATTTGTATTCCTCTATAGCTGATGGTACATTGCTCTGTTTAATATACAGCACAATGTACCATCAGCTATAGAGGAATACAAATCCCAGCACCCCCCCATGTGAGCAGTCTTCCAGCAACTTGTATCTGAGATCGGGCCTGTCTATCGGTGGCGGTCATCCGCCCACACCTGCTCCTCCTTACTTATTCTCCCCGAGTGAGGTGAGGCGTGTGGATGTGGGTGGGCGGGTCTGGCAGTGGAGAGGGTGAGGTGGGGAGGAGGAGGTGTGGCGCGCAGCGTCTGTGGAGACGTGAACAGGGCCAACCTATCAGAAGCCGATTAACTTTTTCAATAATCGATTATAATCGATTATGTCGATTAGTTGTTGCAGCCCTAAAATCCTTTAATAGTTTGTTCCTATTTAGCCCTATGTTAACCCTTAGTTTTCCCTAATCAGCCCTTTATAAACTCCTCCCCCTTTTTAGTGCTTCTGATTTCTGTCAGATATATATTCTTTTATGAAAGTTATCATTATATCAGGCAACTGAGTTGATATTTGTATTAACATTATGAGTTTATTCATTAAGGAAGAATAAAGAACTGATGTAATAAGTCAAGTGCACTAACCTAGAGCACCCTGTCAGATTTCAGTTTGCTGAAATCAGTTTAACTGAGAAATGATTATGGATTGGTGCATGTGTATTGTATTTTGTACATCACAGATCTTTGCACTGCCTTACTGAAAACGTATTTTAGTATATATGTTGTTTAGATTTTATGAGTTTATTCATGAGCACAGTGTAAATCACATTAATAATGAGAAAACAACTGAGATTTATGGCATCTTATATGAAATCTTTTTATCTTTGATGCTTACAATGCTGTATTCATAATTGTGCCTGAAATAGGTTTTAAATATGTGACCTGGACTTCCATGGCAGAGGTTTGGAAGTTGCAAATAAAGTGCTGGATCCATGTGATTATTCTTTCTGGATGTTTCTCATCCAACAGTAGTCACGTGATGTGAATATGGGTGATGTGGCTAACCGGTAGACATCTTCTGCAATCCAAAGGATCTCCGCAGCTGTAAAGTGGAAAGTCTTATTGAGTTGTGATGGGAGTACTTCAGGCTTGTCAGCAGCTTGTTTAGCAGCCAAACCAGTTGCTGACAAGCCTGAGGTATACCCATCACAACTCAATTCTTTTAAGCAGCAGTGATTGTTGTCCACATTCATGATGTTTTCCCTTTTTATGTAGACCACATACCTAAAGGGGTTGTGTTTTGTACCCCCGAAACACATTGGCTACACTATGTGAATGTTTGTTGACCCTAATGGAATAAAGTTGTATCTGGCCTATTTTAAATGGTGTGGCGTTTTAGTTCCTACATCTACTGTGTTTTATGGGAAGGACTGATAAAAGAAAAATGTTTTATAAAACAAGGTTTGGCATAGTGAAGCTACAATGTTGGGTGGTACAAATCCCCATGACCTTTTACCCAGGTGTGGTAGGTTTAGTATGAACTCCCATCATGACATGATCAGGAAACACCTACATCAGTTCATACATCATCATTACTGCGTGCTCATGAACATTGCATGCCAGCTGACGTATTGACTTCTTCATGTAGACTACAGATAAAGAAGCCCCTGGATTAGTGTTTATGCAAGACTTGGTTTTTCTAAGTGGATTTCCAGCAACGTTTAAGGACACCGATCAGTTGAAGTCAAAACTACCCGGGAGCTTATCGTCCAAGATTAAACGGGTAAGGCATACATTTCATTTAAAAATATACTTACAAACCAATCTTCTAATTTTTCTTGAATATATTTTTGTGTGTTTATTAAGTATGGCTGTTGAAAAAAAAAAAGTATAGTGTCAACAAACCCACATATATGTTCTAAATTTTAAAAACCTATTTATGTAACCACATTTATGTAACCACTTAAAGACCCCCTTCCTGGCCAGGCCATTTTTCAGTATTCAGCACTTCGGTACTTTGACATTTATTAAGTCATGCAATGCTGTACTGAAATTAATGTTATACCATTTTTTTGCGACAGATAGAGCTCTTGTTTGGTGGTATTTTATCGCAACTGTTTTTTTTTACTATGTTAAGGAAAAGTTACTGAAACTTTAGAAAAAAAAAACTTTTTTTTTTACATTGTTATAATACATTCATTATTACCCAATTTTTTGGAAAAATATAAAAGACAGGGTCACGTCAGGTAAATGGACACCAAACATGAAAAAGCCTTAAAATTGCATGCACATGCGAAATTGCAAAAAACTACCATACCCAAAATTGGCCATAGGCGATGCTTTAAAAGCTTTTACCACTTATCGGTCTAGTGTTCTCAGCGAATAATGGCCCTAAAATTATTGTTCGCACTGTGACGTTCACGGTGATATAAAACAAATGCGGCGTAATGGGTGGAATCATTGTTTTTTCGCTTGTATGAGTACCCGACGCATGTTTGCGCACGTGTATGTGGGGCTGCAGACTTAAAAAAAAAATTTGTGGGTTTTTTTGTAAATTCTTTTATCTTTCTTCTGAAGCTGGAAAGTGACAGCAGAATGTGGAAGCGATGTAATATACATCACTTCCTGCATTCTGACATCGGAGGGAGATCCTTCCTCTAATCCCCTGTCACAAAGCGGCCATGCCAGTCCCAGGCCCGCTCGGGACCAGCGCTGCAGGGGGGGCACACCGACCAGAACCTCATATAAGTGATCTGGCAGCTCTACATCGTTTACCAGGTAAAGTAATTGGGCATCCAAGGTTTGTCTTGTGAAACTCTTTCTATGTACCACCCTCTGCATCCCCCTGCCCCATGCTGTGACTGTAAATGCTTAGAACTGGCTGTCAGTTTAATATCTAGGTCCAGTTTGTTTTGCAAGAGCACTGATAACCGCTTCTCTGTGAATGAACAGTGTAAAAGCAGTTAAACTATTTATTCATACATATAATGTAATAATATATTTATATTGTGGACATCGCAAAGCCCGAGCCTGCAACCTTTATGTGCAAATACCGACTTTAACCAGAAATATGGTGCCGCCTGTCTCCCGTGATTTTGTTATTGGTCATTAGGCTGGGGGAAAAAAGATGTGAGAGCAATTTTTTTTGTTTATTGCAGAAGAGATATATTATGTTCAGGGCTTGAAAAATGTTTCGCACATAGGCGCACCCGACGCATGTTTGCGTGTGTATGTGGTTGGCGGGGGACTTTAAAAAAAAACAAAAACTTTTTCTTTATGCTTCTTTCATTTGTTTATTACTCTTTTCTTTTTTTCTTTTTTTTACACTTAACTTTATTGCTATCACATGTGGGGTAACAAGTCCCCTATGTGATAGCCAATTTGCAGTGACAGGTCCACCTTATGGAGACAGGGGTCTCCGAGACCCGTAATGTCACCTAGTGACCCCAGAGAAGCTGATGAAGCAGAGATCTCCTTCACCAGCTTCTCCCCAGCTCCTGGAGCTGGAGAGTGACAGCAGAATGCGAAAGTGATGTAATATACCGATCTCCCTTTAACCCCTTCATGACTGAGGCCTTTTTTTCATTTTTTGTACCCATGTTATATTCCACATTTTAGGCCTGAAAATTACGTAAAACCCCCCAACATTATATATTTTCTGAATGCCAAGACCCTATAGAATAAAATGGTGGTAGTTGCAAATTTTTATGTTGCGCAATATCAGCGCAACTCCTTATTAAACCCCAATATCCGTAAAACGGCGAAAAACCCCAGTACCCCAAATGTATTTAAATTTAATTTTAAAAACGTTTTTTTTAACTTTACTTTGACAGCTATCACATGGGGGGGCTTACAAGCCCCCCCCCCATGTGATAGCAGATGGTGGTGACAGGTACTCTTTAAGGTGATGCTGGGGTCTGTCACAGAGCATCCGTGCCGTTCCTGGCAGCACCGGGCACAGCGGATCTCGGGACCGGCAACAGCAGTCTCTAGAGACGCCCGATCGCTTGAATGTAAGGCTCCTGGCTGGCTGTTTAACTGCTTGAAGACCAGGTGTTTAGATCCCCTACCTGGCCAGGCCATTTTTCAGTGTTCAGTGCTGCAGTACTTTGACTGACATTTATTCCGTCACTTAGAACGGCCCGCCGGGAAGCTGCTCATTCGGCTCCAGCGTCCTCTCGTCTGTTAGCGGATTTTTCAAGCCCTGATTATGTCTATTCTATGATGAAGGCTTCTTACTTTCCTGTGTCCTGTTGTTTGAACTGTGCATATGTACAATCCCAGCATCTGCCAGGCGCCAGGATAAATTAACTTCCATGCATTGGAGTTGCCCTGTATTGGCCAATCAAGATGGCCGAAGATTTCAGCACTGGCGAAGGAATATGTGGACAACGCATCGCCACAGCTGTCGTTAGTATAGTGGATTTTAGTTCTGTTTAAAGTGGGTTAAACACAGGTGGGGGGTAAGGGAACAAACCAAAGCAGCAGATTCCTAGTTGAAGATGGTATGTTTATAATATAGTGTCTCAACTGTAGGGTTCACGCATTCAGATTCAGATGAACTTGCTGAATCATAAATTTCCATTGATTCGTCTGTTCGTCCGAATCTGAAATGACAAAATTAAATGCCTGAATATCCGAAAAAATATATTCGGGCATATAGTAATTTGTTTTTCGTATGGGCACCGCCATCTTCATGCGTCCAAGATGGTGGCGCCTACACATGCGTATGATGACGCCTGATGTTGGCATCATGTGACGTCAAGCGCTGCGCCTCCAAGTTCTGTTTTTTAAATGTGCGCTTTCCAATTTGGAGGTTCATTGCCTCCGAATCCGAAACAACATAATTATGCGTTTCATCAAATGAAACGAATGAAAAGGTTTTTCCCTTTTCAGTTGTTTCTTCCTAAACAAATTTTCATGCTGTGCACATCTAGTGCGTGTTGCATGTGCAGAAGGGGACCCTTATTAACATTCACATCCCACTTGTATGTTTTATGGCAATACAGGTTCATTTAACTTCATAATGCTGCGGAGTTTCTAGTGTGACATTTTCCGATTGTATCTACACCACTAGATGGAGCTGTGTCTTTGTCTAACTGATCTCTGAGGATACATATATTTGTATGTTGCTCACACTGTGTGAGTCATGCAAGTGACAAGTGGAAGAGATTAAGAAAAAACTTGACCTGTCTAGTTGAATATTCTGAATCGTGTATAATCTAGAGGCAATCTGTTTTGTACAGAACACAGTGTCCGTGTGCTGCCAATAATACAGGTTATGCTGGATAGAGTGAATACTTTACAGTGCAAAAAGTTCTGTACTTAAAATAGATTTAACTACAGAATGCAGTATAGCAAGTAAAGTCGAGCACCAGGCAAATATAAAAAGCAACCTTGTAACCCAGCTACGAAGTTATAAAAATCACCAGGGCAGAAGTGTCATCTAATCGTAATCCTAGCCTATAGTAGCCCTTTTGCTGAACAATAGCCGAAGCATATCTTTGTTGAAATAAATTTGTCACAAGAGAAATTTGGCAGCTGACATTGCTGAGCTCTGAAAATACTAGTTTTTTGGCTGCCGTGTTATCACAGGAGCAAGCTTGGAGTGGTTGGCTACTTTACAACAAACAGGGACCACGGGGAACAAAAGTAACCACCCTCCAGAAGGAAGGACAGTGTCAGCCCCAATTCAGAGATGATTTGAGGATCTGCAGCTGAGCGATACACAAATAAGACACAATTTTGTTAATAGTTGAGGTACTTGAATGCATTTTGTAAGATTTAACTCCTGAGTTTAGTGTCACTTTAACTTGGCAGCCAAAAAACTAGTATTTCAAGATTTCGCTTCTGAGTTTAGCTTCACTACTTTGATACTGACCTCAGAAAACTATGCAGATCAGGAGTTCTAACTTTACAAGGCTCATATCAGTGCCATTTTCATGTTCATTAGCTAAGGAAGTATTTAAATGATTGCATTGGTATGAAAGCAAGGCAACTTGCATTTTTCAGAAGGAGATTAGCAATGGTAGCCTGCATAATTTTATCAGCACTTTTGGCTCATTGGACACTTCTGCATGAATGGTACTCTCTCATCGAAGCCACGGTGGTCAGGTACTGGCTGCCAAAGGAGCCAGGCGTATCTCACAGGTAAGCTTTTGTTAGTAGCTCACACCATTCGACAGCAGATGGGCTAACAAAAAATTAATTAAACTTTTTGAGGTAATGTACAGCTATTGCATGTATCTGTTCCTCTGAACACCAGAACTCGTACTGATAAAGGAAGAGCCAGCAGCGTGTGCCAGTCAGGGCTCTTTGCACATGACAATCCTGTCAAAGGGCACATTCACAATATAACATTGCGTTAATTGCACAATACAATTTGATTAATGCACGCTATTGCACAATGCACCTGGTGCGCGTTACTTTTTGCTTAATGCATTGCGTTGCCATTCATTTGAATGGCACCCCCAATGCATCTCCTGGCCACCATACTCTGCAATGCAATACTATGCGTTGAGGTGAAAAAAGATGAAAATGGTGGCTGGGAGCTGCATTGGGGTGTATTCACTTCACTATGACTTTAGTTGCTTTGAACTTGTTCCTTGCCAGTGACTAAGTATTGAAGACAGGCAAGTAGCATTTGAAGAATCAGGTCCCTATTTGTCTTGCTATAAAACCGCTTTTCCTTAATATGGGCTATTCACAGCATTATGCTAAAAACTACAGGTCAAAAGTGCATTTTCTTTATGGATGTGTTTCACAGCTTTCTGGAGGAATGCCTGAATTTGCTGCATTTGATATATTTGATATATCATGTCAATCATTGACACAATAAACATAGCAATTAACACAGATCTGTTAGCGTGGTCTGCACCACAGAAGTGGAAGTTGATAATCCAGAATTTCACAGCAAAGTTTTTTTGGTGAGTCTCTATATATCTGGACATGTGATATGGATTATCACCATTTTGCTATAAAAGAAGAGGCAGTGTGATACATGGCTATATTGGTGCTTTTAAGATATTTTCTGTTAGAATTGGTGACTGTCCCAGTGAAATGTAATATGGTCATGTCATGTCTTCACTCGTCCAGTTGCTCTTCCTGGATAGCGGGAGACTTTGTGCCAAATAACGGGAATATTACACCACAGTCAGCTGCTCCCCGGCGTATTGTCTGCTAGTCTCAATGCAAATGTTGTTCTGTTTATAGAAGGCGTTTGGATGCCTGTAATCCCTGCCCCATGACAAGATCTAAAATGTTGCCAATCTCAAGTAACAGTCACAATGCAGTTTTGATTTTTTAGTTTTAACAGTCTGAGATGGACTTGTTAATAGATTTCTGTTTACATACTTTATGTAAAATGTCTGTTGATTCTGATGTTTCCTCATAATGTTAAAATGTTGTTATTCAGCATTATGCCTAGCTCTAGCCATGTATTTTTTTTTTTAATTTTAGTCTTGGATACAGTGGGGAATTATTTT